TGAGAATAATGTAGAGATTCTCTTAAACTGTTTATCTTTTTATAAAAATGTAAGTATTGCCCGGTTTCGGATATGGTTGTAGTATGTATGATACTGTGGCCAATACTGTTGTGCCTGGGAAGGGTGATAGCTCTCCTACCTTTTGTTTTCTCATAGCTCTCAAGACCTTTCATGAGAATTAGGTCAGAGAAGAAAGGGAACAGAAAACACTTTCTTCTGCAAGTCTTCTGTATTTCTTGATTGCAACTTTGGGTATATGAAACCACCCTGTGACAAATGTCCTTGGCAAAAGTTGAGGAAAGGGTTATAAATAATTTCTTAAGGTATCTCTCCCACAAAAAAAGCCCAGAATGAATAAAACATGACTTGGTTTTGAGTATAGTAGAATTCCATCAAATGAAATGTAATGCATTTGATAATAACTGAGTGCAGTATTACTATGAGGAAATCTTATTTCTAAACAAAATGTACTTCAGTCTCCCTGCTGTCATTTAGATATTATCTTGAGAGAGAAGAAAATATTTATCAGTGGAAGAAATATCGTGCTGATCGTTTAAACTCCCAAATAAATTAAGTTTCACAGAGGAAGTAAAATGATTGGAGATGGTAAAATAGGAACAGATGTCTTGATTATGCTGTGCTAGTTTAGCGAATTTGCATAATATCATAAACAGCCTAAGGCCATTATAGTCTCCATAGACTGATGGGAGTTCATATTTGCAGTATTTTTTTTTTCTAACTTTGGAGGGGGTAAGTGGGCTCTGTGTTACAAGCTTGGGCAGATGATAAAGATTAGCAAGACTTCTAAAATGGATTTGATTTTTATTTTTTGTTCAACAAGATGCTTACACCAGGGGTCTCTTGGGTGTGCTTATTTAACAAGTCTATTCCCCCAAATAGTTTTGACAAGTGTAAGTCCTTTCCTAGGAAAAAAGGAGCCTATCTATTGCTCTAATCCTTCTCACTTCCTTTTAAAATTAAATACAGTGGAGGGTGCACGTTGACTTCAGGGCAGTGTAAATTCTGCCTGAGGAGCACTTTGTTAACAAAACCCAGACAATGGTACGCTTTGCAGGGGCCCTTCTGTTCTGGTTTCGGCTGGGATAGAGCTAATTTTCTTCTTAGTAGCTAGAGTAGTGTTGTGTTTTGGATTCAGTATAGGATTTGATAGGAGAAGAATGTTGATAATACACTGATAGTTTTAGTTGTTACTAAGAAATCAAGGACTTTCCAACTTCCCACGTTTTGCTAGGGTGCAGGTGCACAAGAAGCTGGGAGGGAGCGTAGCCAGAGCAACAGATCCAAACTGGCCAGTGGGATATTCCGTGTCATGCGGCATCATGCTCAGTATATAGATGAGGGTTGGCCGGGAAGCTCTCTCCTGGGATTGAGGTTTTGGGATTTTCTCTGCTCCAGAATCATTAGCCAGGAATGGGCTGGGTATTGGTCAGTGAGTGGGGAGCAGATGCACTGTGTATCACTCGTTTGTGTATTCTATTATTATTATGATTATTATTGCTATTATTATTAATTTTATTTCAGTTATTAAATTTTTCTTGTCTCAACCCACAAGTCTCCTTACCTTTTTCACCTCCAATTCTCTCTCCTATCCCTTGAGATAGGGGAGGGTGAGCAAATGGCTGCATGGTGTTTGGCTGCTGGCTGGATTGAAACCACAGTACCTTCCTGAGGCTGAATTTTCTGTAATGCACCTGTGAATCCACAAATAATGGCAATTCTAGCAGGCTTTTATAGGGGTTTCACTTGCAGTGTGTTTTGCTTTTCTTTCTGAATGGGATGGATTTGAAATCTTCATCATGTCTTGGAGTTGTTTCCTAGTGTTTTCTCAGGATTTTTATAAAATGAGGCAAATGTGCTTAACTGGGGAGGGAAGAACAAGTCTGGACACATGTCATGACTAATGCAATCTTTGTTTAAATTCTCCAAATGTGTGTGCTACTTAACTGTGTAACTGCATGAGGTGTTAATACAGAGATTCCTGTTGTAGTGAAGAGCCCTCTTTAATCCACCCTCCTGCTAACGTGCTGCTGTGACACGTACAGCAGCAGGGCATAAGTTTGTTGAGAGAGTGATATGTGGCTTCCTAAAGATGAGGTTTTGCTATTGCTGTGTTTTTTCAGGGGGAATTTACTGATTAGAAAGGACCTAAATAAAGGAATGAAATGACTGGCAATAATGGGAAATGTGATTCAGATAGGAGGGGTTTTTATTTATTTTGCCTTTTAGCATTCTTTGAATAGATCTTTACACTTGAATCTTTATGTTACTTTTTGGTTTTATGTGCAGAGTCTTTATTTAAATAGTGGCTTTACCATAGATACTTGCATTAGAGGTATTACGCGTTGCAAGTGTTTTTACATTAAATGCACTGTTGCTGAAAGTAAGTAGGGCTGCTAGGGAATGAAAGATTGCAAGAAGCTACATTTTTCTGATGCAGACTTAACTGGTTTATGTTTCTTGATACTAACTGATATTTATTCTTTACTGAATATTTTAATATCTTTTCTGATCTTTTTTCAGGATTGTCTTTGCTGATTTCTTCATTATGAATCTCATTCTGTGGGTAAAAGGATCCTCAGCTGCCATCCCTTTTGGCACTTTGGTTGCTATCCTAGCTATGTGGTTTGGAATTTCAGTCCCACTAACCTTTGTTGGTGCCTATTTTGGCTTCAAAGAGAAGGTACGGCTCTTTGAATTCAGTTTTGAAGTGTATCTGTCTTCTGTAGTCGAGCTATTGAATCTCTAAGCATACAAGAACTGGTTGGATTGAAACATCTACAGCCCCCTGGTTGTAAAATGATGTTTCACTTTGTCTTGATTTTGAAACTGAGTATATGCTTGTAATGTCACACTGAACTTTTTTTTCTGTCCGTTCATTAGAATCAGATTTTAAGAAAGACTTCCAAGAGCACTATTGTCTCTTGGAGTTGTAGTTTCATTTTTGAAGTAGTACTTCAGAAGTACTTCATTTTGTACTTCACTAGTTTGAGTTAGTGACAGACAACTAAGAAAACGATGTTTTTGTTAAGGCCTGAACAGACTTCTTTCCTGTTGTTTTGACTTGCTTACTGACCAATAGTTGGAATATCTGAAGTATATGGGTTATTTTCCAAATTATGTTTATCAAGTTTGTAGTTTTCATGGTTTGGTAACTTGTGATGGCTTATGAATGAACATAACTTTATGTTTATCAAATCTCTAGATGCTAGTATTAAGGAAAAGCATTCTTATTTATGATTTAACCAATTATCTTAATTTATTTCAAAGCCTATTGAACATCCAGTTCGTACAAACCAGATTCCTCGACAAATTCCAGAACAATCCTTTTTCACAAAGCCGTTGCCTGGTATCATAATGGGTGGTATCTTGCCCTTTGGCTGTATTTTTATTCAACTTTTCTTCATTCTGAATAGTATTTGGTGAGTATCGCCTTTTTTTTTTGTTTGTTTGTTTTAATTATGCTGGTTTGATAATAAACACACCGTTGAGTTTGAACATCCCAGACCAATGACTATGAGGAATAAAACAATTCTTAAAATTTTTTAACTTGCAGACTTTTGTGGGATTTCCAGAGTCTGCATATTTATTCCTGTGCTTAGAAATTATAAAACTAGTTGTTCTTGTTGACACCTGCAAAGTGTGACATTTGAGTCCCATTTCCTTGTTTTATCTTTCTGGCTCTGAACAGCACAAGGATGGTTTCATGCTGTTGTGGTTAGGTGGAGCCAGATCTGTTGTGTAACTATATCATGATTTATGAAACTAATATGATCTAGAAGTTTCAGCTGTTAAAGCAGAATCAGATCAAGAATTTGGGATTCTATTACTAAGTCTTGTCAAAACCTGGTCAAGCAGGTGCATGGAAAATTAGACTGGTGCAATCTTTTATAACTTTCACAGTGTAAATATGAAATATTTAATATATTGTTGTTCAATGAAAAATATTAGCCTGAAGGTACCAAGTTTTTATGGTGTCCTCTGCTTGTGGTGAGGTTTCTTACAGAACAGTTTTATAAATCAGTTCTTAAATGCAAATATATTAGATATGTTAGTTGTTCACATTAGTCCTCAACAAAAGTAGAAATTGCATATTATATAGCTATGCTGGAAAATGTAATTAGCTGACAAACAAGTATACTCTGGGCTTTTGTAGCTGAAATTACTGAATTCCCAAATTGTTTCTCATTATTTATCCTACAGAAGGGATACATGGAGGGAACATGCAGCTTCCACTCTGTCAGATCTTACACTGCAGTAATTGTCACCATCACTCAATAAAGTTGATTTGGTTTCTTCCTTAACTGAAAGACACCGGATTAAAAGTAAACAAGCATATTTCCCATCAGTTTATTCCTCTGAGTGTTTTGGTGTTTGGTTAGCCCTTGTATTGGAGTTGGACTTGGTCTGGAGACAGACTGGAACTGGAGGAGTATCTGCTTGGACGTAGCGAGGAGGTGCCGAGACACCTGGAAGTCTACTTCCTACTGGCTGTGGTAGTAGGAAGGAAGTGGGCATTTTAACTGGGGAAGAGTACAGCTGGTGCAAGTGTTAGGGAGGCTTAAAGAGACCTAAAGTGATAAACATTTCTGGGAGGTGCCCATACCTGTTCTCTGTGAAAGCTGGTTGAAGCTCATTTCAAGGGAAATATGACTGAGGACTTTAAGCATTGATTTGTAAAGCAGTGGTTTTATTTATGGAGTACATTCAGACAGAGAAAAAAACCTTTTTATGAATCAGCCGATAGTGGTTTAGACAAAGTTACCCCAGTGGTGTGGATTTTTTTTATTTCTTCTTTTTTTGATTAGCTTAGCATCTGGCCAGGTAACACTGTAAATTAACTCAGAGAACTTCAACCAAAAGTGAAACTCTTGCTTTTATTTATTCTTTATTTTAGGTCTCATCAGATGTACTACATGTTTGGTTTCCTATTCCTAGTTTTTATCATTCTTCTCATTACTTGTTCTGAGGCTACGGTTTTGCTGTGCTACTTCCATCTGTGTGCAGAGGTAAAAAGTACAGTTTTGATGTAGATACCACTTTTATCTGGAAGCTTTTGGAAGTAGTTGAGGTGTTCACATACACGGTGATATTCTGGATGCTATAAATGGATTGTATTGTCTGTCCTTGACATGCCTGTCTTAGCCACTCTTCTGAAATGTGCCTTTTGCTTCAAAGTCTACCATTTGCAGAAGATAAGCAAAAATAAACAACATTGATCTTTGAATAATTTCATGTTCATAGTGGAAACAATGCAACTGACTTTGAGAAAAAAAAGTAGCTACGTGCTGTGTTGGAATTTTTTTTGAGATAAATTTTGAAGAATTAAATTTATTTCATAAGACAATGTTGTTATTTTTTAACCAGCTTACGAATATTCTGTTTTCTATGTGATGTCTCTTACTGAATGGTTTATTACTTCTTTCAGGATTATCATTGGTGGTGGCGATCATTCTTGACGAGCAGCTTTACAGCAGTTTATCTCTTTATCTATGCAGTTCATTACTTCTTCTCTAAACTCCAGATAACAGGAACTGCTAGCACCATTTTATACTTCGGTTACACAATGATTATGGTCTTGATTTTTTTCCTTTTTACAGGTAAGTACATTGTTCAAACTAAAATGAATGCAAAGGTTTCTGTGTTTGAATTGAGAAATATTAGATGAAATTTAGACTATCTGAAACATTAAATACAATTGATGACTTTTTAGGCAGTGTTACTTTTATGGTTTGTGACACTACACATCACAGTAAGATATTCTTTAAGGGTTTTTTTCTAACTTGAAATTATGTTTGTTTATAGTGTAATTAATTTCCTTTTCTTGCATATTGTATTAGCAGTGAGTTCAAACCATTGCATTTTCAGAGTGTTGTTCACTTTGATATCAGGGGTGTTAACTTGATTCTGGATTTCATAATTGGTTCTAGAAGCTCTATATTTAGAGATACTGTGCTCTGCATATGGAGAATTAAAGATGTTTTCAGCTTCACTCTTGGCAAGTGAAGGAGGTTGGTGATGGGGAAAAAAGTAAATGTTGACAATAGAGAGTTACTGTTAGAGGTGGACTTACCTGGTCATTAAGCACTGCTGCTTAATGACTGGAATGTACCTTAACTGGAGGAACCTAGTTGAAATATGGCTCTCTATTTTCAGTAGTCTAACTTTTCTGATATTACTCATGCAGACTAAGTATCCCCTACAGAATTACTCTACTGTTCATAATCACTTGGCTCAAACTATAATTTCGAGGTTGATTTGATGTGAAATCTGTGCCAGATTTATCATGTGTTAGATGAAATTAGAAGCTCTTTGAAGGGTATTGGCCCTTAAAAATAGCCAGGAGCATTTTGTATTGGTGTTCATTGTACTGCTGCTGTTGTATGTGTGGTTTTAACACATGAAGTCAGATCTTTAATGTATTGCTCTGCTTAGCATTGTAGTACTGCAGTAGCAGAACTAGAGAAAATGCTAGTTCATAAATAGTGGGTTGTTCCTAAAAGCAGCCTTTACTTTCATTCCTAAGATTTGTCATAGAGGATCTCTTTGCAGGTGTCATGGTAGTTTGTATTGTTGCTTCTTAATATCTTCTACCTGATAGAATATCTTCTTAATATCTTCTACCTGAAACCTGCCTTAATTACTTTGTACTGGCTTTATGAAATGCATCAGATAACTCCATTGATGCAGTTAAAAAAGAGTGGCTAAAATAAGTAATTAAAGTAAGTCTTAGCATCGGACTTCAAGTTTGTCAGTTCAGCAGTGAGGACTTCTTTCATCTTTATTGCCTCTAATACTGGTTGAGTATGAGGCAAAAAAACCACTGTTCATAATAAAACACTGAAGAAAATTACTGTATGCATTTGAACAAAGCAAGTAATCTATAGAAATCACATTTAATAACGTTACCTGGCACTTACTGCTAGATTTTTATTGTTGTTTGTTATTTAGACCTGTGTCTAAAGTTTTAAAAAGAAGTGGGGGAAAAAAAAGGGAGAATCTAATTCTCTAAATTTTTAATTATTAGAAGGCAAACATAGAAGTTGGCGTATTGCCAGTAGAACCTCTGTTTAAATCCTGGCAAAACAGACAAGCTCCAGATGTCCTCTATAATACATATTTAAAAAAAAAACCTGGACAAAAAAATCCCCAAACTGTAGTGTAAAATGTTTTAATTACTTTTAAACTAAAGCAATATGTTAATGTGTGTCTGGGTTTTAGCATAGGTTAGTTGCTATTCTGCCAATTTCAATTTCACTTACAAGATGCAAATTGGTGGAATTAAAAATATCCCTTTCATATATAAAATGATAATTGAAATTGTCATGGCAGCTGCTGAAATGGTATTAAAAGCTTTAGATGTGCTGATCCTGGAGCTCTTGATGTGGAGGCCAGTGAGGCCCCAAAAGTACAATACGAAAATAAGAAACTGTGCTGCTGTTACTTTAGCAGTTCCTTTTTTTTTTTTTTTTTTTTTTTTTTTAAATAGAAACACGATAGCAGTGGCTATGCTGTATTTGTAGCTCATGGAGAAAGCTGCTGTATGGTCACTTCTTTAAAAAAAGTTGAATAGAATAGCTAATCACTAGAAAGGGAGAAGGTATATGCAGTGTGTAATAAATCCTTGCTAATGTAAACTGCTGTGATGAATTTCTTTCCCATATTTAGTTTGATTTTTTGGGGGGCTGAAATGTAAGCTGTTATAGATAGATGACTCAAGCAAAGTTAGGTGTTTTCTGCTTTGTTTTGTGAAATATTCAGTAATAGCACTTGCTTTGGAAAATAAAAGTTCAGTCCTTCCCAAGCTTATAGAAGTGAGGGAGTTTACTAATATAACTTTACACACTGTTCACAGTAATAGGGTTCTTCCTCTACGTCTGTTCCCTTGATCTGTTCCACTTAAGTTAGCACTAGGTATTTTGGTTTCCTCTGTTCTTGCCTGTTAGGTCTCAGCAACTGTGACAGAAATATAAAGGGCAGCGTTAATGCCTCCTCTGTGGCAGTGTGTGGTGTTACTGTGGACATCACAAAAGAGATCATAATGAGTAAGTAAATAGGAACTGAATGCTTGTGTGGCAGCAACGACAATAATATAATCTGACCAGTGAAATCGAACAATTAATGTGCACTCACAAACAAGACAATTTTATTTTAATGTACAAAGTGCAGCTAATCTTTCAAGAAATAATAAGTGTGGTTGAATAGGGATAGCTACGTGATTACATGTGTTTTATGCTAGGAGATGAAAAAATACTGAACATAGTCAAAGCATGTTGCTTCACAGTGACCTCTATTTTTGAACATCATTTTCACTTGTGAGTTAATGCCATTTTTAAAATTGAGTTTTGATCTTCTGGGTAGATTGTGTTTAGAATCCGAGATTCTGAAGCACCCACCACTGTGCAGTGATTGAAACCAGTATGATACAGAGAGCTTTTAAGGTACATAAGAAGTATCAGCCAAGTGCAGAGTGCTTTTCTATTTGCTTTCTTACAATCTGTTCGTGCTTTGAATTCTTTTTTCTTCATTAAACAATAAAGCTAGAAGAAATGAATAGAGCAGGAAGAGTCTGCTTAATGTATTTTGGCATTATTATGTGCAATAATCCTTGTTTTTAATTTTGGACTTAAACTAGTTTACTAATAACTTTCCTTGACCCAGTTACATGCTAGCTTGTGATCTTTCCATGTGTAAGAAAACTGTTGCTGAGTTGCAGTATATATTGCAGGCCAGAGTATTCAACAGTGTTCTGGTATAGAAACTTGAGGACAAAAAGATCAAAAAACACCCGAGGTTTCAGTATCTCCCTAGGAAGTATAAGTGGATGTATTGGACACATTTTGCTTCTTGGCTAGAAAAATTACTCAAGACATCTTCACAACTGGGTTCTAGAATTTTAAATAGCTTCCACAAAAAATGATCTTTTAGCTGTACCTCCCTAGGATGATCAATGATGTACAGTGGGCTGCACTGCACTGGGATGGCATCAGTTTCCTGGAATAGTAGGGGTTTTTAGAAAGGCAGAATCTTAAAACATGAAGGTCACGCACTTGGGGAAAAAGAAGGGTCTACCCTGCAAAAGTAAGTTCTTAAATGTATGTCATTAAGATGCTTTTTCATTTAATTTAAGCTAGTGAGTGGTTAGGATTGGTTAAAGTGAACATTAGCCACGAAACTAATTTGTAATATTAGATTAAAACAGATTTTACAGGCTCAGTGAAGGAATTGGTGTCAGGCTTGGTGTCTTTGTGCTGTGTCGTTTGATAGAGATGTAGATATGAAAGCTGTAAAAACCTCACAGTGGGAAGGAGTTTAGACCCATTAGAAAATAATTTTAGACATCTCAACTCTTTCAACTAGTGGGGGTTTTTTGTTTATTTGGGGTTTGGGATGGGGGATTGTTTTTTGTTTTTCTGAAGTACTTACCATTATAATTTTTTTACCAGCTTAAAAAAGCCACCTTTGGGTACCTGTTTTCTGTCATGTTTTGTTCATTGATCTCTGTCAGTGAAGCAGGAAGCTTAGGAGGTATGCTCCTTGTTGATAGTGCTTCAAAACTTTTGGTTTCAGTTTGAATGTGTTTTGAAAGAAACAAATATAAGCAAGATCCTAGGGTGGGCTTATCTAAAGCTTAGCTGAGTAGTCCTTATATTCTAAGGGGAGGTACATTTTGAGTAAGGGATAATTCTAATTTTGGTGCAAGATGTGCATAGAAAAGTATTCAGGATTGGAGAGGTGAGTGTGCTTTTCAAGAAAATGCAATTCAAGCCACGCTACTTGAGATGGCAAGGTTGTGTTTTAACTAGTGCAACTAATAATGTCAGTTATTCTGGGTAGAGCTGCAGTTGTAGGAAACTGATCATGCGCTTATCTGTATTTTAAGATTGGCCTCAGTCAACGTAGTTAAAAGGGGAATCTGAGAACCTGTGATACCAGTCAGCACAGGCCTAAAGATCCAGTATGTTGATACTTTTCTGTGTAAATAAGTAAAATTTGGAACAAGTGTCAAACTTGTGAAATGGGTTTAAATGCAGAAAACATTCTAGCTAGAATTTTCTAACAAGCCAAACTAGTTCAGAGTTGTTATTCTTCCCCAATCATGATTCATTTGCAGATCCCTTTCTGATCAGGATATTTACTCCTGTATTGAAGCTTTCTGACTGAACTACCTTTTGTGGACCTCTTAATGGTTCATGGAATCACAAGGTCTAGGGTGGAGAAAAACACTGAATTTCAGTGCAATTATGCGCTGTACTGCTTACGTTCTTCAAAAACAAGTGAGGCTTTTTGCTGCAGTACTGTAAGCAATCCTGTAGGTAAAACAGCTGTGCACTTAAAGCCGCTTATAAAGGATGTTTCCTTAACTTACATTAATTTCTGTCTATTCATACTGATTTTGTAATATCAACACAACTCTGCTGACCTGAGCTTTTGGAAGTTCCCGGTCTGGGTGTTTGGCACATGTAACTTAAAAAGGCACTAAAAATGCCTAGTTGATTTGCTGTGATTAATTCTTACTTCTAAATCTGTACTTGGATTCTTGAGGTAGATTTTCAACCTAGTTTTGATTCTGCCAGAACTTTTAAGCTATTCTGATCTTTGAGCGTCAAGTATACTGTTTAGGAGAGGTACTTTTTGGGGTCCTTACTTTGATGCTCTTTTTGAAGTTTCTGGCCCGTAGAGCTATCCACATGTGGAATTTGTAGGATACATTTGTTCATGGGAGGGAAGAAGAAATTGCAGTACTGGTAAGCCCTAATTGGCGATGTGGAGGTAACAGGACAAGGAAACTGCTGACCAGGGAAGGTACTGGCTACACAAGGCTGTATCTTGGTGATGAGTCTGGCCTTTCTCCCCTGAGCTTATAAGGTTTAAATCTGGTGTCTGACAAACATTACTACTTACTGCTTGTGTTAGGATATATAGTCTTACTCTAGTACCACTGCATTGGCAAAATTTTTGATAAAATTTAAAAAAGGAGCATGGGGTACTTGGTCTTTGATTTGCTAAACAGACTTTTTTTTAGGAGGGAAGTTGAAAACCAGTGTTACTAAAACCTGTGAAAATGTGTTTATAGATGAAATGCTTGTTCACAGTGTGAAGTCTTCAGATTCTGCTATGAATGAGGCCATGTTTTATAGAAAGCTGGTGTATCAGAAGGATTGAGTGACAAGGACTGGAGGAACATACTGTGGATTTAGAGTGTGTTCCCATATTCAGTTATGGCATGCTCAGAAGACTGTGGAAAATCTCATTCCTGTGTTAAAGTTACACATTTTTGTTATGATATTACAATTTTGTTCTAGAACAGCAGATGAGATATCTTTAAAAAAAAATCTATCTGCTAAACATTTGGAAGAAACACTGCTTTCAGTGCCATAAAAGTCTCAAAGGGGGCTATATTATAAAAACAACTAGAAAGCAGATGCTGAGAACCATTATTAGGAGAAAACCATGAGAGTAAGGCTTAGAGTAACAATGCTGATCTTGGAGTATTGGACACAGTAGGAAGGAGTGAGAATTGACCATAAACTGCAAAGACTTAGCAATGTCAAGCCTACAAAGGAATTAAATTCCTTCTGTGGTTGGTGTCTGATCTCCTATGAACAGCAGTAAATCTGCCGTCTCCTACTGTTTCAGAGGATGATAACTGCAAACTTGAAGGGAAGGGGTAATCTGTGACATATAATAGTAGTCTGTCAAGAAGCCTTTAACTGCAAATATACATGGTAGCACGAAGAACACAAGAATTGGCATATAGATAATAAGCATCCAAAGTCAGGTTCCTCACTTATCAAATGCATAGATGTGGTCTGAAGGACAGAAATGCAATGAATGTGGAAAAGATAAGTACTTAATAAAGAACCTCCTAGTTAGTAAACCAGTCACAATGACATAGTGAAAAAAGTTGAAGCTGATGTTAAACATGGGCTGTACAAACAGAAAAGGATGAATGTAAAATTGGAGGAGCTGAGTGCATGATCTTGCAAGTGCCTATAGTGTCGCTGGTAAGGGCTGTCACAGAGCTGGCACGTAGCTGTGTCTTTGAGAGTGAATTTAGCTGAAACTGAGACCTTCCCTTTTTTAGCGGGTGAGGTTTAACATCTGAGTGGCAGTTTACCCCTAGGTAAAAGCACAAGGAACAATGCATTGCTTGTCTTAGAGGCTTAAGAGTTAATTAATTGTATGGGACTCAGTGGCTCCTTCATACTAAGTTCTTAAAGTAATTTAAAAATAAATGTGACAGACAGTGTCTTTGCAGTTGCCCCATAGTTGTGACTGTGGGGTGAAAATTGCAGACTTGGTCTTCAGTTTAACAATAGAAAACTGGTGTAGACTAATCTTGTTCAGTGTCATCTCCTCTCTCCATCATCCTACTCTGCACTCTGCTAACTCAAGCCACAGGACTTGACATGTGGCCCCAAGTCCCTCCAGAAGGTAGTTGTGGTTTTTTTTCCTCCTACTGTTGGGTTGGATGACTAAAGAACTGGATTGGTAAGAAATCGAGGAAGGCTATACCAAACCACACCACAGGTCTGCTACCCAGGCACACTGATGGCAGTGCTTCCAGGCAGGCGTATGAGAACAGGACAAGCATTTACTAGTACTTTCTCCCAGCCTCCCATCAGCTGTGGCTGAAGGGCTTTTTTAGCACTTGAAATGGTGTCTCTGTAATTAATAGCTTTGGATTTCTTTGTTCATTAATTTATTCAGTTGCTCAAACTGGTGTATGTTTTTATTATCTATAGTGACCTGTGACAAGAAAATCTGCAGCTTGAATACACGTTACACAAAACTATGTGTTTGGGTTTGTGTCACTGCTAGTTTCATTTGATGCTTGCTCCCAACTGCTACAGCACTCAGAGCATGGCTTTGGCAAAAGAAGGTAACATGATACACAGAGTAAGAAGTTCCCTTTTCTTGAGTATGATAGAGCACAGTGAGCAGAAGAGGGGGCAAGGTGTCTTTTCCCAAGGCCTTGTTTTATGGCATAATTCACAGGTGGCTGTGAACTGTTGTAGACCTAAAAAACCCAGGTAAGTGTTGACTTAGTGTGCATGTAAAAGTCAGTTTATTAAATGGCATTTGTGTGCCTGCTAGTGGTGATAGTAGCATCACCTTCAGTGGTTTAAATGTACATCAAGCAGTCTGGTCCTAAAAGTCATCCTTGATCTAAATCAATAACTTAGCCTAGGGATGAATGTGTGTTGTTAAATTTAACAAGTGCTGTTATTCTGGATAGTTAGCTGGATTACAATGTTCTATTCTGTCCTGCTGGGAACTACTTGTTAGATTTTTCTCTCAGAGCAAACTGGAAGATAAACTAACCATTTTCACTTTCTCATTTTAGGGACTATTGGATTTTTTGCCTGCTTCTGGTTTGTAAGTAAGATTTACAGTGTTGTGAAAGTGGACTGAAAAGCTTCAAAGCGTCTTTTGAACATATCTCCCTTGCTGTTTGATAATTTTCACCATGTATTGAAAAACATCCTGTGTAATTATTCTAATTTGTAAAAGCGGAAGAGCAACCTACAGCGTAAAATACAGATTTTTATGGAAGGAAATGGCACCACTGGAAAAAAAGTTACATCAGTATGCACATGGAACATGTTAATTCTAATCATTCTAAAAGTTATATCCAAAATTTGATTTAGGATAAATAAAAAATCTGTGAACTAGTTTATTTGAAAAATGAGTGCATCATACAGTCCTCCAGCTGAAATTCCTTTTTTTTTTTTTTTTTTTGTTACCTCTTTTGGTTACCATTTATATACCATGAAAACACAGGACTGTCAAGTAAATCTATGTAAAATGTGAATTTTTTTAACTTAACTATGATTGTACATATTATCCTGCACCTTCTTTACAACTAGATATCTTCTTACAAATGTACATGCATTTAGTGTAATGTAGACTTTATTAAAAATATCGACACTGGTTTTTGTTCAAATAAAACTGCACAACTCTAGCTGACTTGTTTCCTCTCTTGTTAATTAGGCCTTTACTACTTGGACACAGATCACAGTAGTTTGGTCAGTTGATAGCTCTCCAGTTTTGCGTTGTTCATAAGCAGTTTGGCTGTGACTTTGGCAGCAATTGTCTGTGCAAGCAGAGGACTGGTAGGTTACTTGAATCCACAGCAGTAGGGTGGGGAGAGGCTTCTGAAGCTGCTGCTGCTGTTACCTGTGCCTCAGCTGTGCACTTACTCTAACTTTCCCCCAAAGTATTTTTTTGCTGGGCAAACAATTACTTTCTATCAAAGAGCAAAAACCTTTTCCTTCTTGTAGTCTTCTGAAACACACCTCTCATTGTTCTTCATCCCATGAAGACTGTGTGCAGCTTGCTGGGAAGTTCAGCCATGAATCTAGTGGGTTTTGGAATGGGTGGAGCTTTTCTTCCAGCTCTGCAGCACTTGTGTTTAAGTGCTGGATTACATGATAATGGAGTATCTTAATAGCCCCTTCAGTTACAGGGCATTCTTCTCTCAGGAAAGTAAAAGTTTTAAAGAGGCTCCCCAAAATTTTGAATTGCACTTGAAGCTGAGCAGAGAGTCACTTCAGACACGTAATTCAACTGGCTGTGTTACTGACCCCGCTGGAGATGAATAAGTGGATGTTCACTCAGATTAATGGGTGAAATACTCAAAGCTTATTAACTGGCATATGGAAACATTCATTGCTGGAAGCTGCTTTTCGGTGTCTAAGCCTGCAATTTAATAAGACCCAGAATGACTCCATATCTTTTCATAGTTACACATGTACCAGGTAATTGTAGTTAATGTTTAATGTCCTTTACAAAATGTAATCTTTGGTATGAGGATTTCAAGTCTCACCTCTGTGTGTAGTTGTTCCTTCCAGGTTACTGAAATGTGGGGCAGATCACCTGGCTAAGCTGGGATGAGTACCAGGCAACATTTTTTGAACAGTGCCTGTTGTGTAAAATGCGGCTTTTAGACAACTTAATAAAAAGAGCCGTGCATTAGTGTACCAGGAGGAGCTCACTGCAATGCAGATTGTTCCAAGTGAGGTTCAGGTGTGCTCTTGATGGCAACTTGGCCTCCCAAATGTTTTCCCTTCCTACCACCAATGTCTCAATTTCCTTTCTGTTCCCTCATAGAGGTGGAAAACTACAGAGTTGCCATTAGAGAAATCAGCTTGCAAGTATCTGCTGGTTCAAGAGCACCATGCACTCTATTAAAGATTTCATACTCATATTGAAATTGGTGCTGCTCTGTTTAAAAAGGTTCTTCCTATTAAATCTTATATGTAAAGTTGAGGGGGTTTTATGGGATACTTTAAAAAAAAAATTGTTGTCTGAAGCTGCTTTTGAATTTTACATGTTCAAAGGGAAATAAATCATGAGAGAATTTGGAGCTACAATTGCCATAAAATCCCAGCAGGAAATTTTGCCAGATTCATAAATATACATTTCACAAAAGGCAAAGCAAAATGAGTTGTAAAATTGTATTTATGGTGCTTTCTCTACTTTTACTGTGACTACTGATGAGCTAAAAAGTAGAAACTGGGTTAAGCAAGTTTCTGAAGCTTGCCTGTAGTCTAGAGCTAAAGCTATAAAGGTAATATCAGTTGTTCTCATGCAGTTATCATCAGAGAACTCGGTTTACTTTTCTAATAGGCCCCGTTCATGCAAATCTGATATAATTCATAATTCAGCAGTGTTTGTGGTGGAGACACACTTTATTGCTCTGCAACTTTTTATCTAAATCAGAAAAGATTTGAGTTTTGGTCTCATTTCTTCAAAATAGATGGATGCTGTCATGGCAAAGGCAATTCTGCTGTAATGGTCTGTCATGGGCGGTATGTTTAAGTATAATTAAAGTGAATTTTAAGGATGCTCTTTATTTACATGCTGGAGGGACGAGCTGGGGCAGGCAGTATCCTGTCTGACTAGTGTCTGAGGGGTGGCAAGTTTTTAAAATATTTTGTCCGTCGTAGTTTTCTCGTGCATGGACACCTGTGAGACTTGCTGGTACACTCCCCCTGCCTAAGAGACAACTATTCCCTCTTGTCTCCTGAGGTCCTCTACAGCTGAATATTTTTGCTGCCCCAGATATGAGTGCTGTTTGCAGAGAATCTGAACGTAAGCCCCTAGAAAGAATTCTCTGCTATCTTATTTTGACTAAGCTTTAAGCTGTCTTTTGGCTTTGCACTTGAGAAAGCCACCAGGCTGTACGTTAAATACAGATTGTTATGAGCATGTATCAATTTAAAGGTGGTGTAAGCCCTAGCGAGAAAGTAGTAGACAAAGTTCTTATTTTTAATTTTATCGAGCACAGAATAAGATGTAGGAATGTGGTTTTCCAGTGACTCTCAGTGCTCTTGGGTAGTTTTTAAACTATGGGTAAAGATCTTATCCACTCTGTGTTCAATCAGCCGTGGGTTTTGAAGTTGAAATGGTCAGTATGGGGACATGGATGTTTTGAGTACTTAGATTACCCATAACTGCTGCCTCATCTCTAACGCATTTTATATGAACTTATGAATAATAGCTGTCATGTGGAAATAACCGTTATTCATCTACTCTCATTAAAACAATGGGCTTAATAAAGCATTCCCTATCCTCTTGGAGATACCTGAGCCTTCCTGCCATCTTTAAAAAAGAAAAAAATCAGGCTAAGTTTTAGCTTTTCTAAAGTGCGTATATAGACATCTACATTGCATTTTTGTGATGCTCCCAGTAAGGGATGCGCAGCAGACGCATTAAAGCATCTCCCGTGTAAGGCTCTTCTTGTAATAACCACCCAAATCCAGCAGGCATTGTAGAATGTTGTATTTGTCATATTTTAAGTAAAACTTGACAAGTTACAACAGAACCTCAAAGGAAGGAGGGATTTCAGTGCTGATGTTTTACATTTCGTTCCACTCTCTCGGATAGTGTTGAACAGATTCAGCCTCATCTTCATTCCTGAATGTAAATGCCAAGAGCAAGCCATGCTGATGTATGGCAAGGGTGGGAGTCCGGTGCAGTATGAACATGGGATTCACCCCATACCTCTGTAAACCTCCCTGAGGACTATAAACGGTGCTGTTGAGGGGGAACTGAGAACATGTGGCATATCCATGATAAATTGTAATGGAAGGATGTTGGATGAACAGCAAACTTGTCTTCAGTGGGTTGCTCAATGTTCCATGTACCAGTTGTGCTTTTGTGTCTGATAACATTACAAGTTCACATTTAAAATTTGTCTCGGAATTAAGTCTTCCATGCCAATAGCTCAAATGTTTACAGAAATCTCTTGCAAAGGACTGGGGGAGAAGAAATTTCAACCAAACTTTGCCTGCAATTAAATGCTAGTGTAGGCGTGGGATCTCCTCTGGAACCTGTGGGTGAGATCTTTAACAGCAGTCACCACGTGAAGATCCAGCTGTGAAAATCATGTATAAAGGGAAGAATATTGGGCATTTTGCATTGTAAGCACTGGGGACAAGGCAAATGGCTGCTGAAGTGGATGGAGAAAGGTGAGGTTATACTGATCAGAAACTGCAAGGAAGGGGTGATTCTTCAATGTGTGGTTTCCTGGTGGAGATCTGTCCTCCATAGTCTTACCCCAGAGGCTCGGATGTCCAGTTCTATTCCTGTGAGCTGTGTCACGGAAGCCAATGGAAATAAAGTGGGAAGGTTCAGCACAGGTGTCACTGTTTCTCTGATCAGTCTTACATCACTTTGTG